GGGGCACGCACCGAAGTAGGCGGAGTTTGCAAAAAGTGTCGTAATTTGGTTCCAAGAGGTCCCAGAGAGCGGGAAAAAAGGGGTAGAGGTCGGCGAAAGGAAGGGGCCAAATGCTATTGATGGGCGGGGCACGCACCGAAGTAGGCGGAGTTTGCAAAAAGTGTCGTAATTTGGTTCCAAGAGGTCCCAGAGACCGGTGAAAAAGGGGTAGAGGTCGGCGAAAGGAAGGGGCCAAATGCTATTGGTGGGCGGGGCACGCACCGAAGTAGGCGGAGTTTGCCACGAGATTTATTGTCCGGAAGCAGTCCGGAGACCGAGGAAAAAGAGGATAATGGTTGACGAAGAAAAAGAGGTTGAAAGCCGTCGATGATGGAGCGGATAGAATTTAGCTGAGAATTCAGATATTCGTATTGTATCAAGCCAAATTTGAAAATTTTCGTCGCACAAGAAGGTACTACTGTGAAAGTTCGACCGAAATGACATTTTTTGGGGCAATGAAAAGCAAGTTTTAGTTCTCGAGTGGTAGATCTCAAAATTATATTTGACGCGGCCGCTCCGCTGAAAGAAGAATATCTCGCTCTACGTATAAGTCTGTATTTACTTCTACTTCTGTTTTTCATTCATATTCAAGAGCATCTAAAGAAAACGCGGATATCGAACTGAAGAACTTATAGAAGTTAGTGAACTTTCGCTGAAGTTAATAATATTCAACCATTCGGGCTACCACACCGTTTACGATCACGTTGTGATGTGATCTATAGAATAAATGCAATTAGAAAAGAAGTAGCGCATGCGCGAAAAATAAACTATTTGAGTGGAATACGCATGTGCTGCACCGGTCCCACACGGTGTTCAAAGTGTGCAGCACATGCGCTGTCGTCAACGTGTTAAGGGAATCTGGGGACACGCTTCTTAGCTCTCTACATGTTGCTTTCTAAAGGAGATTTCAAGAGATTCTCTACTGTAGGTGAACAAATTATTCGCTGTTGTGTAAAATCAGAGAAGAAAATCAAAGTTTGGTCATTCTATGCTATAAAGTACCACGTACTTATAACTTCAGTGGAGCGTTCCTTCAATCGAGGCAACAACATCCTTTCAACGATAGCAAGCGCATCCTCATCAGGGGTTTCTTCCATCGAGCACGACTGGAACATCTCAAGGATCTAAAAGAGAACATTACTAAAACAGCTTTGAGTTCTGACTACCTATAGCAAGGAGCGTAAAGTAAGATGTTCTTAAATTAATTATTAAAAGTTCTCAGCGTTCCTTGCCCAGAACCTGGATTATTAAAAGTCTCAGCGTTCCTTGCCCAGAACCTGGACATTTGTCTTCACGTTTATCTGATGGTAGTGTGGATTGTG